ATAGAGATCATTTATAAACAGACACCTACACATTAATATTTTATGTGAACTTCCATATCCTTTATACTCTGAAAGGAAAATATATTATATAATTCACTGCCATTGGCTTTTCTTCCTCTTGGCAATTTGCTGCTGGCTACTGTCACTGCTATGAAAATACAGTATTGGTGACTATCTTTCTGCAGGTTTACTTCCATTAAACCTTTTCTTTTCAGGTTGTAGATTCACATGCTGTTGTGAGAAGTAAAACAGAGAGATCATGTGTACCCATTTCTCACTTTACTGACATGATAACATCTTCCAAAACTGTAGGACGGTATCACAACCAGAAAATTGACATTGCCACAGTCCACTGATTTTTATTCAGATTTCTTAAGTTTCACACGTACTCATTGGTGTATGTATATATATGTTTTTAGTTCTGTGTAAATTTATCACATGTGTAGGTTCACCACAATCAAGATATAGGAGAATCCCATCACCACAAAAGTCCCTCCTGTTGTATAAAGCTTATTTTTAACCACTGGCTTATTCTCTTATAGATAGAAAAGCAATTTTTTTTTAGATTTTTAAAAAATTTCTATACTAATCCAAATAAAACCTTTCTAATTGTAAAGAATTATGTTAGAATTGGGTTTTTTATTTGTTTGTTATGAATACAATTAAATGTGACAGGTAGCCACTGTCCAGAATTCTAAGTCTGGGGGAAAAAAAGAATTCTAAGTCTGAGTTACTCTTTATTATGTTTTAAGCATTCAGTTATGCAACAAGAATCTGATTTATGGTTTATTTTTCTGCTTAAATCACCCGGTCTTTAGGAGTGAGTTAGTTGAACATGCTTATCAAAAACTTAAAATGAAAATAAAGTCATGCCTATATTCTGTAGGTAAGTAAAGACTAAAAGAGAAACCAATGTTTACAAGAGACTTATTTTTCAACTGTTCAAAATTTTTGACATGGAAGAATGAAAGCCTTCCCCCAAAGATCAATAACAAGATAGGCATGCCCATTTTCACCACTAGTATTCAACATTTTACAGGAAATTCTAATCAGAGCAATTAGGCAGAAGGAGGGAAGGAAGGGAAGAAGAAAGAAAACAAAAGGCAGCCATTTGGAAAGGAAGAAATAAAACTATCTCTTTTTTTTTTTAAGATTTTATTTATTTATGTGACACAGAGAGAGAAGAGGGAACACAAGCAGGGGGAGTGGGAGAGGGAGAAGCAGGCTCCCGGCCTAGCCAGGAGCCCGATGTGGGGCTCAATCCCAGGACCCTGGGCTCATGACCTGAGCTGAAGGCAGACGCTTAACAACTGAACCACCCAGGCGCCCCTAAAACTATCTCTATTTTCAGAAAACACAATGCTATATATAGAAAATCCCAAAGAATGCACAATGATTGTGTTCCTTATTGTGTAACCCTGAATAATTAAATAATTTGTGTTTCAGTTTCCACATCTATAAAATGGAGATAATGTTTATCACAGAGAATTATTTTAAAGATTAAGATATAGCTTGTAAAGTAACAAGTACCATGCTTTGACTTTAGAAAGAGTTCAAAAAAAAACTTAGCAACATATTTCATCATTACAATCCAGCTACCAAAATAATCAGTTTAGATAAACAATTAGATTAAGTAGAGGTTCTGTGACCTATCTACCTTTTTCTCTGTAAGACATAATATTAAGAGGATAAGGAAAGACCTGAGGATTTTGTCCCTGTAATGTACATATAACTTCCAGGTTTCTTGAGATTATATATAAATACAGTCTCTTATAGGTAGTAACTTTGATATAAGTTTTTGGTAATGGAATTAATTAAGAGTTCATTTGTGGCCTTTGAGAGTATAGTACCAGTAGAGTAGTAAGGCAGAAATCTGAATATAAGAGTTTAATTTCAGTATGGAGGAACAGAGATTGGGTTTAGACCATTATTTTGAGCAATGATCTGCAAAAAAAAAAAAAAAAAAGAATATTCATTAAATTAAGTAAAAGAGTTAAGCAGCATCAGGGGCCTAGCAAATCATATACTTGTAATATTGACCATCAATACTGCTATAAGATTTCCCTAGCACTCACAGCTTAGGCCAGAGAGTGAAGAATACAAATAGGTAGGAAATCCAGGATTACACATTAGAAGGACATGTGTGGCAGAAGGTTAAGGGGCTTTTTTCTTTATGTAATTATCCCCAGGTTTATTGAAGTGTAATTGGCAAATAAAGTTGAATGTATTTAAAGTCTGTAATGTGATGATTTGAAGTGTGTGTGTGTGTGTGTGTGTACCCATTCCATGAAACTGGTTGCTATCAAGATGGGAGGAGTTGATTTCATCTAGGAAGAAGTAAAAGGAGGAGGAGAGGAAAGGAGATTAAAATAAAAATGGGCTGGCTAGCTGGCTGGCTCAGTCAGTGGAGAATTTGACTCTTGATCTCAGGATCCTGAGTTTGAGCCCCATGTTGGGCATAGAGTTTACTTAAAAATTAAATTAAAATTTTAAAAAATGAGAATGATGGACTGTCCACTAGTCTACTGGTCATGCAGTGAAGACACGTTTCCCTGCAAAAACAGCTCAAGCATGGGAAGGATATTCTGAAAACAATTTCCCCAGTTATTTGATGTTCAGGCCATTACAGCTCTCCAAGGTTGTCGAAAACAGTTTGCCTAGCTCAGTCCCTCAATAACTATTTTAACTTGAGAAACAGAATTATTAACAGGTCCTTTGGGGATGCTACATGCACAACTCCTGGGGGCACCATTTCCATCTTAATCTATCTGAACAGAGGCCCTTGGAGTCATTCAAGTTGGCAACCCTGCAGGACCCATCCTTCCCACATAATTCCATAAGGGTCAACAAGGAATATCATCAGTTCCTTAAGGTATGGTAGGTAAGGTAGTGTAGAGAGGCTCTGCCACTTCAGTCCTCCCAGGAAAAGAATGCAAGGTAAAGAGCCCTTAGGATTGCTTCTCATGGTGAAATAGCTTATTTGCCTCAGCTTTGCCCTGCTGAGGGAGTGAGTAGTGTTGGTATAATGTAGGGAAAGCTGGAGGTTCCCAGCCCTGGGTGGGAGTCACTTAAGCCCACTTGCTCCTTGAGACTTTTGGAGCTCAATGGAAGGATCTGGAATTCCTTTATGACACTATCTTTCAAACTGAGGTTCAGGTGGTAAGTAAGTAAGACCTCTGACAGGTGACTTTTCATTGGAAATGCATGATAATAAGGGAAAATTTTTGAAGAGAAAAAGATCACCTGCAATTCCATTTTCCTCACATAAGTTTTAGTTTTTGCATAAATGCTGTTTCTCCATTCCTTGCTTGCATACTCATATATTTTACGTGGATGAAACATACTCTACATATTTGTTGTGTATGAAAATTTAACGTGTCATATTAATCTTATTTTTAATAGCACAGAAATGTTAATGGATAACACTGTTGTGATTTTGAAAAGCATTTAAATAAAATTTCTAGTTTCTCTCATAAAATCAATAATATAGATTTTTGGTCCCTGAAACAGTAGTCACTAGCCAGCCACACATGGCTAATGAGCATTTGAAATGTGACTAGTCTGGAATGAGATGTGCTATGAGTGTAAAGTACACACTGGATTTTGAAAAAAAGCATAAACTATCTCAATAATTTTTATTGATTACATGTTGAAATGATACTACTTTGGATATATTGGTTAAAGAAAATATATTATTAAGGGGCGCCTGGGTGGCTCAGTCGGTTAAGTGGCTGCCTTCAGCTCAGGTCATGATCCCAGAGTTCTGGGATCGAGTCCCGCATCAGGCTCCCTGCTCAGTGGAGAGTCTGCTTCTCCCTCTCCCTCTGCCTGCCTCTCTGCCTACTTGTGCTCTCTCTCTCTCTGTCAAATAAATAAGTAAAATCTTTAAAAAAAAAAAAAGAAAATATATTATTAAAATTAAGTTCACCTGTTTCTTTTTACTTTTAATGTGGCTACTAGAAAATTTTAAATTACATATGTGGCTTACACTTTATTTCTATTAGACTGCACTGATATAGATTATATACAGCTGTGAGATCATAAAATTAGAAAAAACACTAAAACTACAACAATAAGGGAATGGTTAAGTCATCTTTGGTATGCTTACTAGGTACAATATTGTGCAGCCTTGAAAATTATAAACCTATGGGTGATGTGGCAAAAAAATATATATGTAATATTAAGGAAAGTATAATATAAAGTTATAGAAATTGTTTCAAAAAAAAACGTAAGAAAATTTTTCCTGTATGCTAACATGTTAGAGGTATGTTAGAGGTATGTTCAGGAGATAGGATTACAAATGAAGTTTTCTTCGTTTTCAAACTTAAAAGAATGCCTTTGTAATCTTTTTCACACTGAAATTTATTAAGCCATAAAACTTATTTTTTATTAAAAAAAATTACTGGTAACACTGACTCACAGACTTAGATCAAGATAAGTAAGGAGAATGGTGTATTATTGTTCTCAAAGTGGTACTGTGGAGAAAGGAGCAAGCCAACTAACTATATCTTCACATCTCCCCCTGTTCAGTGGGAGTGAAAGAAAGCAAAAATCCCAAAGGCAGGATGATTGATAATATATATTGTGTTTGTAAATATATATTGTGTTTGTAAATATATATTGTGTTGTAAAGGGATGAAATAATGAAGGAGGAGCATTTACATCTTTTACCACTTTGTAAAGAAAATGATTAAAAAACTAAATGTAAGATCTTTTAAAAAAAAATTAAAGGTGTTGGGGCGCCTGGGTGGCTCAGTCGTTAAGCGTCTGCCTTCGGCTCAGGTCATGATCCCAGGGTCCTGGGATCGAGCCCCGCATTGGGCTCCCGTCTTGGCGAGAAGCCTGCTTCTCCCTCTCCCACTCCCCCTGCTTATGTTCCCTCTCTCATTGTCTCTCTCTCTGTCAAAAAATAAATAAAATCTTTTAAAAAAAATTAAAGGTGTGAAAATGATTTAATGTGTTTAAATGCTTGATCTTGCTAATTTTTTTTTCATTTATAGATTCATGGTGTTGCTATCTAAAGTGGAGAAATCATCAGAAGAAATCATAGAAATAATGCAAAACTTAAGCAGTATACAGGTTAGCTTTTTTTTTTCCTTTCGGCATATAATTTTTCATATGTCTACCACTCCATTTGGAAAAGGAAAATAGGGAAGAAGCCCCAGCATGGAGAATCCAATCCAGAAAAGAATTTGCAGGGAATATGTCTAATTTACTTTTCATGGGAATTCCTTTTCTCATATGAACATGAATTAACCATAATATTTTAGTAATATCTGACTTTTTCACATTTTAAAGCTTGCAGTAGTTGACCTGCCAGAAAAAGTTAAATTTCCTATCACAAAATTTTTTTCAGATGAAAAAAACAGTAAACTGTATTTTCACTAGACTTGTCAGTAATATTATATTTGTAGAGAACTTAACTCATTTAAGATGTCTTTCTTTTAGGCTTTGGAGGGCAGTAGAGAGCTTGAAAATCTCCTTGGTATCTCCCGTGCATCATGTTTCTTACCAAGAGAAATGAAGAAAACAAAAGAACTAAGTAAGAAAAATTCATGAGTTTTCAGTGGCATCTCTCCATTCTTTATTTGTAAATGTAAATATATATTCTAATGTTTTCAGTTTTAGAGATAAACCTAATAATTTTTCCCAAATTTAAATCTGATAAACTTTTTTATATATGGCACTACTGGACATGTAATGGAAGTATTATTTAGAGAATAAGAAGCCATATATCTTTTACCAGGATATGTTACTTCAGGGATTCTTGTTGAATACGGAGGAAAAGAATATGCCTTGCAAACTGATAATCAGGCTTCTTAAAAATCTGGTGCTCGTTCTTTAAATAAGATATAATAAAATATTGCATTTTGTACTTGATACCTGTATGTATTACTTCAAATTATTTTTTTCTTATGAAGTTATCCCAGGATGAGAAACTATTCATATTCCATGCTAATTCTTAACATGAGTTGTTTTGTTTTGGTTTCGGGGTTTTTGTTTGTTTTTTAGTGAAAAAAGTAACAGAACAAAAACTGTTTGAAAAGAAGAGTTCAGGACTTCCCAACAAAGGTAAAGAATTGTGTTTTCATTTATATAAAAAGATCCTTTCATCTCATTTCACCATTGAAAACTAATCATCATGAGTTTTTTAGTGTGATCTTTTTAAAAGATAATAAATCTCATTTGCAAACCTTATACTAATTTGCAGACCATGTCTGATAAGATAACTTCCCTGAGGATTAAACTTTAAAATATCTTTTGAAATACAATTTTCAGTTTAAGATTTAAATTTTGTCTTTTTATTAAAAGTTCTTCTTGAGAATATAGACAAATAGGGGGAACAATGCATTAATATATAGCAACTTTTAATGGTGAATTAGGATTACACAAAGCATAAAAAGTTACTTTGTAACCAGTGTTCTGAAAACTTTCAGATCATTAATGATGTTTGATCTACTGTGAACTCATATGCCTCTGAGCATTTCACAGTATGGGAAACTAAATTAGCAGGTTTTCCCATAACACATGCACATCCATACCTCAGTAAGCAAAATGATCATGGACTGTAAAATATTAAAACCTTTAGACCAACTTAAGAGGGATCATTTTAATATTACTGACATGAATGCCATTTTGCAATCTCTGCAAGTGAAGGTAGGCTTTTAAATGTGTAGCCATGTTTTAGTCTACCATTTTTGAGTACCAATGACTACCATTTATTGAGGACCAGTAATTACTATGTTCCCAACACTAGGATCAGCAGATCTTTATAGCAACTCTGCAAGATAGCTTGTTATCATTGTCATTATAGATAAGGAATAAAGACAAAAAATGTTAAGTAACTTGCCCCAAAGACACTGCTACTAAAGTGTCAGAGCAGAGATTCCAACTAAAGACCAGTCTAACCTCAAGTAGTATGGTTTTTTCATTGTTCCATGTTGCCTCTTCCTATAACAAATTAAATCATCTAGTCATCCCAGTTTTTAGATTCAGACATGAGGCATAACTGAAACCATCTCAACCAATCTAGTATATTAGACTGTATTTAGGATCTTTAACAAGCCAGTGTGATGAGTTTGCAGTGGAAAGTGCTGGGATTCCCTGTTACTTCCAAAGGCCACCTGTGTAATGCAGGGAAACAGCCCTGACAAGATCCTCCAAAGCTAATGTGGGAAGAGAGCTGAGCAGGTTTCCTGAGCCATTCAGTAGAGCAGCTAACTTCCACTGTGATCCCAAGAATTTAAGAATATGAAGTTAGTTCTTAGAAAAGGCTTAAGATCTCTTCTCTCCTATACTGTGAAACTTGATTATAATGTGTAGCTGAGTTTCAGTGGTTTTTTTAACTTGACAAGTTTTAGAGAATCATAATGGGAAATTGGAATGTTTATTATTTCCAAATCAGAGGAAATCTTTCTTCTATATATTCTGTGCCAGTGGTGTGAATTTTTTTTCAATCTGTAATTTCCTAGAATTGACTAGAATTAGGCATTACAGAGTTGGCTTTCACCAAGTTTTGAGAAATGAGGAAGAGAAAATTGTAGAATAAGTGGATCACTTTAATAATGAGAAAAAATTTTCCGAAAGTATTGTTTCCTTCCCTAAACATTTATTAAGACGTTAAAGTTATATTCCGTGTGTTAAAAGTTATCTCCTTTCAGTTATCTAGTATGTACCAATTTTTTGTGTGTTTATGCATGACCAGCCTTAAAACTATTTTCTAGTATTTTAGGCATTAAAACTGACTTGCCCATTACCAGGTTTTCCCTAAGGGCTAGTGTTTATTCATGCATAAAAGAGATCCTATGACTAAATTATGTTTTAAAATTTCTAATAAGCATTGATTATTTGTTGTGGTTTAAATGAAAACTGAATTTAGATAATTAAAATATGTGATAGCTGTAAAAATATATATTAGAATATATGTCATCTTCCATTTCTGTTTCTTGGCAAGAGCTGCATTAGCTTTTATATTTCCTGAGATTTTTAGATTTTCATTAGCTTTTCCACTAATTTTTTTTTAAGTATTGTTGCCTGAAAAATTTGAAGCTTATTTCCTTTATAACTTGAGTTTGAGTGTTTTTACTGAGTGTTTTTCTCTCTTCTCTTTCTGGTTCATAATATATGTATTTTTTTATTTTGGTGGTTTTGTTTTGTTTTTGATTAAAGATGATGCACGTCAACACATATTTATATATATAATTTTTTGCTGAGTTAATAACTTTTCAACGCTTTTTATTCATTCATTTTACAAGGACTTTGCTAGTGTTTTTGACATCTCAAACTAACTTGCTTTATACGTTCCTTATTTGCGGATCTAGCCTTCAGCTTTTTATAGAAATTTCTACTTTACTCCTTTCTTTTACTATGCTGTTATTCAGAATTGTTTAAATTTAAAAATGTTTGGGGAATCTTTGTAATATTAGAAATTATATAATATAAAAATAACTCCCATAATATGTATGGGATTTGTTTTATTAGGTACTTAATGAAAATAAGAACAAATTACTTGTTTCACGATCAAAAGAATGTCCTTCAGATTCTCATAAAATTCTATCTATTAACTATTCTATCCTAGAATAGTTAAAATAGACAGTATCAGGAAAATTCCAACATTTATGCTGTTGTTGCCTCTTCAAGTCGGTCCCCTAGTTCTATTTATTTTTCCATGTCACTGCTAGCTTGTTTAGCATCAGTTGCAGTCTTTATTACAGGCAGAGCAGTATAATTGTAAAAATAACATGCTAGTGTTTTAAATAAATAGACATCTGACACACATTCTTAAGGCTTTATGTAACATTCAGGGGAAATTAAAACGTACACAATAACATGAAAAGGTACACTGAGATTTTCATAGTTTTCAAAAGAACTGGACGTGGCAAATCAGAGAATGCTTTGATAGAGTATATGAATAAATAAAAGAGTCTCTCCCCTGCTAAATACAAATTTCTTAAACAAAGGAAGGCTTTCTTTCTTTTTTCAGTTACTTAGGAAGGAAGCCTAACTTTACTTTCCTTAATAATATTGGCTTTATGACTCTTAGAAAAATAATGAGATGAAAGGTCCTTTTTCTGTTAGATTTGGATGTGAATTTCATAATTATTCTTAATTTGTTATGCTGAAGATTTAAAACATGACCATTCAATGGGTTGATACAGATGGAATGTCACATTATCATCACATGGTAAGGCATGAAATTTATTTACTTTACATAATCAACCTCTACTTAAGACAACTTGATACAAATATTCCTAAGTCAATAGATGGCATTATATAGTACTTAGTATTTTCATTTTTTCTGGAAATATTAAAAAATACCATCATTGTTTGTCTATGACCAGTGCTTCCAGTAAACAAAATGTTTTTGAAAAGAATGTAAGCAAATTGTAGAACAGTTGCCAAGATATGAAATCTAGACACTTAGCTTTAGTCCAAAACATATTTTATCTGTTTTGAGAATCATTGTGTAGGTTGCAGTATGCATATTTGAGATGAAATGTAACCATCTGAACTTTACATTGTTCAAAAAAGTTGATTGTCTCAGCTGTTTGTAATACAAAATATTTCAGAATTTTAGCTGTGGCCTTCAAAAGAAAAGCCCAAACTATAACATTTCTGTTTTCTTTAGCTAACTTACTGTCTTACATTGTAAAATTCATCTGGGTTATAGGATTTTAAAGTTTTCAAAATCTTGGACTACAGGACAAATTTTAAGCTCTTTCTGTTCTAAGACTATAAAATAGTTTGATACTGCCTTTTCATTCTAACCACCCACAGAAGTATTTTTTAACTTAAAAATATGTTGTTCTTTCCCCCACTCAGTCTTGAAAAAGTATTTATCATATCGGCCAAATAATTTTACTCCCTAGAAGACTACTACCCTTTTAGTTTTTTATATCTTAACATTAAACTGTATCTTTTTTCAAACCAATACTTTGGTTTTAAGAGCACTGAAGTTTGAAGTCTAGACATGATGAGTTTTAGAAGAAACAACAAAAATTCCTACCTGTGCCTTATGTTCTTGGTTTATCTGGAGATAAAAAAATGGAGATATTAGTTTTGGTGACAAATCTACATTAATGTACAACTGTAGTCCTTAGCTCTTTATCAGAATTCACCTATCATGTATGTTGTACGTGGTTCATACCTTTCCTATTAATAATGTTAATGCCCTTGTCTTACACTATTCATCACTGTTTGGGGGATACATTTTGACTGCTTACTTGAGATTTGTCTAGGATTTAAGGAAAAACAAACTGATTTATTACTTTTCAAAGCCTTTTAAATAATTTCTTCCATGATTTAAATTTTTGTATACTTCTCTAGAAGTATGATCATTTTTATCTTTTAAATAATCAGTAAAAAAAATTTAACCATAGATTTGAACTCACTTAGTAGCAATTATGTGTTTAAGAGGTGTAAATAACTTGCTATCAGACATTAGGAATATCCAGGTGCTCTGTATGTGCTGATGACAACAAAATTGAAACGAAAGACTGTAATAATTCTGACTGGTTTTCTCTGCAGAAGATATTGATTATTTGTGTGTGGTGAGAGATTTGGAAAATTCAATTAAAGGAGTTGTGCAAAGGTTTCATAAATTTTCCTTCTACAGCATGTACACAGACATTGTTGCGTATTAAATCAATGCAGCACTTCACAATATATTTTCTTTGAAACATAAAAATAAATAACATTTAAACAGTTCTGCTTACTACAGAAACAAATTTTATTTTCTGTGAAGCATTTAGTCATGTGCTATCACTGACTCATCCACATTTGCCAGCTGTAACAAATTTTATAGACATTTTCTCCAGAGACATATCTCACATGCTATGAATTTTTAAATGAGCAAATGGTGAAGAAGGGATGTCAGCAATATAAAAATTGATCAGTTAAAAGATAAAAGCATAAGTAAAGAGATTTGTATGGTAGTCTTAATAGGTTTTATTAAATAAAAATACTATAAAAAGACAGTAATGAACAGACTGAAGACTGACCGTTCTTGAGCTGGAGAAAAATTATTCTGGCACATTTAGTAGAAATTGGTTTTATGTCACCTGACAGGTGAATATTTTTTTCCCCGTTTTAACTCTTAGAGTAGTCAGAAAAGCTCCTCAAAAAAGAGTCAGATGAATTTTCTAAGTGGTTTATGTATCAAACACATATCTAGAATAATAAAGCAGATACTTATAGTGTTATATAGCTAATTATATGGTTAAAAGCAGGACTTCTGTAAAAGGTATTAGGTGATTTTTCCTCCAGCTCACACCTCACTCAGGAGGAAAGGAGGCATTTGAATGCATACTGTTTGCCCCATGTGACTCCAGCCCTCTGGAGTCTCTCTCTCTGTGAACTCCAGGTCTCTCTCCTGCTTCTCTCTCTACCTGGATTGCTCTTTCTCCCATGTCTGTCTAGTAAATTCCTGCTCATTCTTTAAGGGCAGCCTCAGATGTCACATCCTCTGTGAAACTCTCCCCAGCTCCCTAGGTAAAGCTAAATTGCTTCTTCTGGCCTTCTACAACACTTGTCTGAATGTTTATAAATGTATTATGTTGTAGTATTGTAGTATATTGTAATTGTCCAGTTACAGGGCTCCTTCTGGGCTCCTCCTTGGCAAACAAACAAGAGCCTAATATAGAATCTGATAGAAGGTCCACAATGCATGGTCAATGAATGAGTAAAAACAAATGCCACTCTAAGAATTTTTTAAAGGAACTTAAATATTTTCAAATACTTATAAATCACAATCTCCTTACATGCCTCATCCGTTTAATATTTACTGAATGCCTACTATGAGCCAGGCACTATTCTAGCACTGGGGGTACAGTAATGAACAAGGTAGACATAGTCCTGCCCTCAGGATTGTAGAATATGTCACAAAAGACAATTATAATAAAGCATAAGCATACATTATAATGATAAGTTTTTTGGCACTTTTTATCCTAAATTCTTTTTTTTTTTTTTTTTAAGATTTTATTTATTTATTCATGAGAGGCAGAGAGAGAGGCAGGGCTCCCAAGGAGCAGGGAGCCCGATGCGGGACTCGATCCCAGGACCCTGGGATCATGACCTGAGCCGAAGGCAGATGCTTAACCATCTAAGCCACCCAGGCGCCCTATCCTAAATTCTTAAATGTATATTCTGAAACAGAATTGGGCAAATCAGTAAGATGTCGAAATGAGAATTTATAACTCCAAAGCTATTTATAATGTAAAATAAAATTTTAGGTTTAGGTTCTTTAATTTCATTTGATTAAGCATTTATTCTACATCATATACTGTGAATACTGTGACAACTTACTTTGACTTGTTTTCTGAAAAAAATCTTTTTTTCTTTCTTATAGAATTATATCATCTTGACAGCTATGAATTCCTTAAAGGCATTTTAAACTGAGGTAGGGTTTCACCATTCTAATTAAGGTTAGCCTTGTTAAATTTCACTGTTTTGTTCAGGTGGAAACATTTTATTTATATTATCAGATTTGGTACTGTCTATGAATAAAATAGGGAGTGAGCTTTGGAGGTGTTTTTGAAATTATATTTAATCTATTTTTATAAATAATAGGACAGTCTGACAAGTTGTATGAGAGGCTGATTGAAAAGAACTGTTGAGCTCATTAGCCTAGCTTTAAAAGTCAAAAAGCTCATATTTTTAGGTAAGTGTATAGAGGGCTCTTGATTTAGCACCTTTAGTATAAATAACTAACTAGGTACTGATAGGTGGGTTATAGTTTCTGTAGGACACATGTAACTGAACAAGATATAACAATTCTATGAATTTGGAAATGTGCTGAATTAAGTAAATAATTATATATTAATTAGTGTATCTTTCCTTCAGAACAGTTCCCTGTAGATTCAGCAATATAAGTAAAAATGATAGATTTATAACTAGCTTATTAGAACATATTAGCTAGAAGCAATATGAGTCATAATGTGATATTAGCATCTAACATGCCTGTAACTGAAGGTTCGTGTTAAGAACTAGCCTACCCCAGACTTAGTGGCATCAATATTAATTAAGATTCTTAGAAGCTAACCAGATGTTGCCTACTATTTCTTAGAAAAAAATTAAGGCAAAATAAATTCTATACTGAAAATACTTTTCTTTGGAAATGGTATTTCAAATGATTAGTATTAGCTTCCTAACTGTTTTTAAAAATATTTGCAAAGCATCTTATATACAAAATTGTGTCACTTTTCATTCATTAAAATGTTTATTCTGTTGTATGCAGCAAATAATAGTTTATAATAATAGCTGACACTTATTAGGCACTGTCAACATGCCAGGTCCTATAGTAAGCACTTCATACAGATTCCATTCAACCTTTTTAACAACTTATGTGACATACAGTTATTGTCTTTATTTTATAGGTGAGGAAACTGAGGCACAAAGAGGTTAATAACCTTGTTCTAGAATTACCTCAGAGACAGAGCCAGGATACTAACCTGAGTAGGCTGGTACCAGAGTCTTTGCTTTGCCCACTCACAATAGTAAACTGTGAGTGTCAGGTTTCACTGCTGGTCAGAGGTTTTAGATCCTATGAAATAGTAAGGATCTAATATATATACATACACACACGTACTCATTATAGGGTTAAACATTTTGTACAATTTTGGGTCCATGGCAGTCCAACAAACAACTATTAGAGGGCGATCATAAATACATAGTTACAGTTATACATCTGGCTAATAACATACACATTTAGTATATGATGGTCATTCGTGAACTTTGGGGAACTTAGGGCACTGAATATAGCTTTGTGTTCCTGGATTCTAAGAAAGATTGTGTTCTTCTGAGTCTTTAATATGAGTAGTACTTAGAAAAAACTTGCAAGAATGAAGGTTGACCTACCACTCAACTTCCCTTTTAGTGGGAAGCAGTGGAGAGAAATAACAATGAAATGAAACTGGACTAAACCTTTGAGGCATTTCCCTGGGTTCTTTTGACTGTGTTTTCTTTCTTTGGGCGCTTTCTTCATGATCTCACCCATTCCTTGACTTTAGTTCTCACCTTAGTGCAATTTATGGTTTCCAAATCCATTTTTGACACTCCGTAAACCCACAATATCAGCTGCCATATATTGTCCCCCAGGTACCCTGATTTCATCATTTCCCCCCAAATTTCTTCCTCATTCTAACTTTCTAGGGATTACATTCATCCAGTGATAAGGCTCAAAACCTCAAAATTTTGTCCCTTTTTTGTGCCCCCATGTGCAACTGCTGCCAGGTCAGATAACTTCTAAAAATGTTTACCTCTCCCTTCCATGCCCCCAGCACTAGTTTATTCCTTCATGACCTCTCGTCTGGATTATCATCCCCACTGTAACCTGCCTTTCTGCCCCTTGGTCCTTCTTCCCTACAGCCTGTCCTGCTACTGGATAAATCACTACCATATTCACAGTAAAATCCAAATTTATACTAACATTCAGAACTCTCCCTAATGTGACCACAGCTTACCTGGATAAATCACTTGGTTAACAAAACTATGAGGCTTAGTATAAACATAGCATTGCACAATGCCAACCTTTTAAAACCTAGTCATCAAGCTAAAGATACAAGATTTATATTCTGTACATGAAACGATAACAATATAAGGCAAGCTATGAAGAGCAATACAAGTTCAGAACCCTCTTTCCAGGATTCTGGCAATAGCAAGCACAAAAAACGATGAGTCCATTTAGGATCAAAGTTTCAACTTGATTAGTGGAGGAACTGATAACCTCTAACATGGCAGGCCCTCTGGCAGAAGCTTAGGGTAACTAATATGGAGTGTGCCTAAGGCAGAAGTGGAACCTCCTCTCTCCCACACTGAGTCTAAATCTTGAACTCTTTGAATCTCAATCTTGAACCTGAGGAGAAAGCTGGATCTTTGAAATAAACCCCATGTCCATGTGCCTCTACAATAAAAAAGACCACAGACCTACCTATGCTTGATTGCAGATGAGATCAACAGAATGGGCTGGTCTCCTTACAACATGAAATTAGGAAGCACAGGACCCATTGGACTTGAGAGTAGACAGGGAAAGGGTGTTGCATAAGAAGAGTGACATTTAATATTACTAGTAAAATATGGATCGATGTTCTGGACTTTGACCAGTCACGTTTGTCACTCCTCCATGGGGTAGAGAGAGCAGAAGAGTTGACAGTTCCTTCCTCTTCAGACTAAGGAGTATAAACATTCCTCTCTAAGAACCAAATGAAGAATAAGCAATAGTATAGGAATACACAACAGACATAGATCACCTCAGGATAGAGTGATTAGGTCATTATTTAAGAGTTCATGATTTTAAAATAATTCTAGTTATTCCACTCTGCATTATCTCTGACAGAGGACCATCCAGAACCTAGTAATGGAAACTTTGTACTTTACTAGGAAGTTTGAATTTGAGAAAGGGGTCATTTTGATGGGCTGTATAAACATACTAGGCAGAGAGAACAACATGAACACAAAAGGCAGAAAAGCAGAATGACTGAACAAGTAGGTTTGACCACATCATTGACAATTATGATCACCAGGCTTAATCGGTTCAGACTTTATTCATTAGGCAGAAGTAGACCAGTGAAGATTATTGGGGAAGTAACAGTCCAAAATATGTTTTAGAAAGAATATAATTGCTATATGAATGATAATTCCTGTCAAAATACTGCTCATGAACTGCATCACTATCTCTAAATTGCTTTTTGTATTCTGAGACGTTCATCTCCAGAACCAGTTAGGCAGTGTAGAAGTAATATACATGCTACTGTATTCTTGTGTTGTGACATATATCACATTGATCATAGTCTTCATTTTTGCTGGATCCTGAATTTGGCGTCAGAATCTTTCTCAACACTCTTCTAGCAGTCCTGATCAATTGATGAAACTCCTTTGCATGGTCTGGCATTATAACAGAGGACGGGATTTGGATTACATGTCCAGCACCAGCTCTGTTATCTACTTAGCTCTGTGGCCTTAACAAGGAACTTGGTTCCCCTAAACCTTAATTATAAAATGGGACTGATATTTACCTTGTGGGATTGTACAAAATAAACTTAACTAGCACCTCCCCCATAGTAACTAATATAGTCTTACTTTCCCATATAGTATTGTCATTAGTTCTGATAACTGTGTATCAGTAGCCTATAGGGATATTAAGTGAACACTAGAGTGCTTAAAATCTTCTATAGGAATCCAGACCAGACTCAAATTGGCAAGAGTTGGTGGTTGTCAAGTTGGCAACCTACCTTCTTCTACGAAAAGAATATATGTGGACTCCCATGAATAGGGAAATATAGGAGCCTACCATGCATTACTTCTTAATAGCTGCCAAGGTAAGTATGGAAGGGGTATTTCAGGAGTGAAAGGTCCACGAGCCCTATGGGAAATATGCCATCACTTGCCAATGGCTTCTAAACCAAACGACAATAACTTCTGCCACCACTAGGAGGCCCCAGAGGGACATGCTCTGAATAGGAATGCCAGTAAATACAGTCTCTTTTTTTGGGGGGCAGCTGTTGGAGGAAACACCTGCTGAAAGGCCCTTAAGGCTTATAGACAAAAGGCATGTAGATTTTGGTGTTTTCAGCAAGTAGGTCATGTAGGAGTTTTAGAAATCTCTCAGAAGTATCTCAAGATCGATCTTCACATAGTGAAGAGTGTGATGTCTGAGTAGCCCTATTGACAATTATTTGTGAAGGTAAATCTTGTTAGAAGACCCAAAAATAAGCAAATGAGAGATTACCAGTATCTAAACTAGGTACCAAATTACATGGTAAATGGGTTGTTTAAATCATTTAAGTAGTGTATGAGATGCGTGTTAATTTGGAAACTAATTCTTGATTTAATAATCATCTTTTATATCCTGCAGGCATTTAAAAGAAATGCACTTACTGTGAACACCAACTTCTTCTGCATCTGCCTGATCGTATTTAAAGGAACAGAGGAAATGTTTGTAATTAATCTGCCCAGTAAATACCAGATCATAGCACTAGGCAGGTGCATGTCTAGATAAAATTTCTTGCAGCTAATTTAAACTTTCTACATACACCAGTAGATAATCTCAATGTAAATAATACATTTCTTCTCGACCCTTTAATGTAAGCCAACATGTAGAAGAGGATATTAACTTCTATTCTGTATCACATACATTTCTGTATCCTTTTAGCATTTGTGGACAGATTTAAAGCATTTATGAAGATGGCATTTTGGTAAAATGTTTTAAACTCAGATTAAATTTAATGGTGAGTGGAATTAGGTACCACTTTCCCATGTAAAGCCCTAAATGCGTATTAGATTTTTTTTAAACTTCTAAAATTTTTCTAGAAGTTTATTGTGTAGCCACTATCTCAGGGATGAGTTTTTATACTCTAGTTATTTCTATGCTTATACAGAAAAACTATATTCAAAGTTTTAAAATTTTCACACCTCCTTTTATAAAATGCATTTTTCAGTACAAATATATTTTTAAATATGAAGTTGTTCTTAAACTGAACTACACAGACTCTACTGACTTTAAAGAAAAACCTTTTTTATGGTGTATATGATCACCTGCAAATTATTTTGAAGCATTAATTTAAATTTCTATTATTCTGTGGTGTTATTTTGTATCATCCTCATTCTATCACAAAATAAAGGGGAAGTGGGAATCACATGATATGTTATAAATTAATAACATGTTTTTTTTAAAACCTCTGTATTTTTCTTTGACCATCTCTACAGGGGAAAAAATACTGTGCCCTTGGTACTTGCCCTAAGACTTGACAAAATTTGTATATTACTGTGTCATGTAAATAAAAATACTATATGAAAATCTGAAATAAAATTTAACTTGTTTGAAAATAACTGATTCTCCATTTAGATAAACTTCAGATTTACCTCCTAAAATGAAAATGAGTTTTTAAAAACTATTAAATGACATCAATTAACTACTAAACCTAATTCCCTTCACTAATGATTTTATTGGTAGTATTTAAATAAGATTTTAAAGATAATCTGTCTGCTAAATACTAAGAACACTGTGATACAGACCTTATAATAGGACATTACCTAAATATACCAAAAAGGCTAATTCCTTTGTTTTCTAGCGTTGAAAACTAACCTTAGGATGTAAGCCAAAGCATATAAAGAAACTTGTATTAGTCAGAGAAAAAAGGGTTAAGAAATGGATTGGTTGCATATATAACGCAAGTTATATGGGTATGTGCTTAATGCTATTAGGTCAGTTACTGTATGTTTGACCTCGATACACTAAGCTTTTGCCTTTCAGAACAGCTGGGTCTGCTAAGAATCATTTCCCAGTTCTCTTCATTGTAGATCAGATGACTCTCGCTTTATCACCCTTGGAGGCCACATGAAGGACAAAGCAGAAAGATCCACACACAGAACTAATGTTTATATGGCGGGGAGGGGGGTATGGCATGGAGGAAGGTGGGGGGGGCAGATACACTTGGCCCTGATCTTCCAATGAACATAACAGAAGAGACCAATTGAGACTTGAAACCCCTGTGTTACTCCAACCATTATTTAGTTACATCCTATCCATCTTTTACTCTTTCTATTGAACAGAGAGGCTCCTTTGGCTGCCTTGACTTTTGTAAATGTTTCACTCACTTAGTTGTGGTTTATCATTTGGACAGAATGCTACATCTGGGATTTTTCTCCCCTCCTTAACGCCTCAAGGGAAAATGGCTTCTGTATGCTTCATATTTGATACATGAACATACACCCTGTTCTCTTCATTTTAAGAAGCAAGCCTAAGTTTACTGGTAACAGAGAAAACTGCATTTCTCAGAAACAGCCCTTCCCTCTAAAATGAACTTAAAAAACTTGGAAGGGTTCATTCCTTGACAGGTATATTAGCAAAGTAACTGAGAAATCTTCAATATTTTTGCATTACCTACACATCTTTATATTAAAACATCCCAATAAGCCTGAGTGTAGCTGAGAGAAGTACTTTGGAATTGCCTGTTTCTGTGATCTTAATTCATCAATGGACATTTTTGGTATTTTGGAACCTAATCCTTCAAAGTTCAAAGTGGACTCTTCTTAAATTGGTTTCTAATGGAATATAAGAGATAATTGACTTATAAGATAATTGCTACAGGTCTCCATAAAAGCTACAGTGTTACTCAATATGATTAAACTTCTGAGGAAAACGTGTATTTAGAGGATTTGTGTTTAAGATACCTTGAATATGGGTGCGTTCTACTTTATTATTTATATAATATACTTTTATTTTCAAATAATGTTTCTCTGCTCCAGTTATTTAGAAGCTAGGACTTCCTCATCACTGATTTAAATCAGCATCCTGTGTTAAACCCATGTATGCTATTACAAAAAATAAAAAAATAGGACTACACCAGCCAGCCAAGATGCTGACATTTGGGCACAGTGATTACAGATGGTGACCATGGACAGCGATGTTCCTGCTGATTCGGCAGTGATTCAAGGCTGCTTTTCTGTGCTGACCTGCCCTTTGAGTCTTTATGCACATTTGCTTTGAGAAAGAAATACTTCCTGATTTTTGCTTTGTCTAAACCTACTTCCTTTATCAGACTTAGAAGCACATACCTTCTTGCAGTCTGTGGCTGTCCATGTCTAGAACCAAATTTCCTTTGTGTATATATGCTCACTGTTTTAAAATATATCACCACTTAGTCAATATATGTTAATGGATGTCTTATGAAAGAAATATATTCATTAAAAACCATAGGTTGATGTGAAAATAATTGTTTTATTCTTAACACAGAGACTAAAGAGAACACATCTTTTTTTTCCCCTGCCCTCCCAAAAGAACAATCTTTACATAAGAAACTATAACATAGATATGACATTTTTACCAATTGAATATGATAGTAAAGATGAGCTTCTCCTAATATAGAATGATACGTCATTAAGAGGGCCAAGTTAACATGAAACATGATACGAATCAATGCTTATGGAAGTGGTAATCTTGAACCACTCAAAAAAGATCAAAAGGATGAAATCTTGTATAAAACCATTTAACTTACACAGAATGATCCTAGAAGTTTAGAACTAGTGAACACGAGTAATTAAAAAAAAAAAAAATCAAACCACTTAAATTCAGTAAAATTCACTGTTTAATTAAAGTTAATTAGCATTTTTGGAAATAAGAACATGGTCTAATCTCTCTGCCTTTTTATAAAGAAATCAAATTTCCACATGTAATAAGGCATGTTCAAACTTCAAGCACTTTAAATTGCCTCTCACAGTAATTAAAAAGATCATCACCATCACAAATTTAATCCCTGAGATATAATTTCTAAAGAATGAAATATACATTACTTGCATTCTAAAATGTAACGAAAACTAAATTTAAATACAAAAATTTATGATTTCCTTTAAAAAGAAGGGCTTGATTTTCCCAGTAGGCTCACTGGATTTGCAGATTTCTTTTTAAGACAACAAACTGTAGAGTACATTTCCTGAGTAAACACTGTGGATTAAGGGCATTTTCTCTTATTTTCCCACTTGGATAACTGAATCTTAATAAAAGTACAATATGTCTTGGCCACTCTATAGTTAGAAAATAAAAGCCTCCACTGGGCTTGGGTCCCCATATACATTTATTTTGTAAATAATACGGACAACAATGACTTTTCACCATTTTTTCCCTATGTGAATCTCAAAATGATAATTTCATTTATACATAGCAAAAAGTTCAAAAAAACCTTTAAGCACTGTTAATATTTTCACATTTGTTTGTGGAGATAGAGTTAGTTGATTTTCTTCTGATTTCTTCCATTTTTGGAATCCCACATGATTATAATGTTAAAGTATACCAAGAAGAACAGGAAGTTCAAGCAGGATACGAAACAAATCAATACAGAAAATAAGTCCGGTAATTTCTGAGGAGGTTCCAGTGTGATAGTTGTCAGTGTCAGAAGTGCCATAGTGATGACTGAGATAAGAAACTATAAGGAGGGAAAAAAACATTACTGAGTAATATAAAAGATAAAATTTAAATGTACTGGTAATATTTACTTATAGCTATAAGTGAGCAGAATTGAAGGTGAGGGGGTGGGGGTCCAGTCTCTTCTACCGGTGGATCTCAACCTAGGCCACATGTTAGAATCATCTGGGGCTAGGTATAAAAATCTCAATGCCAGGCCACACTTCAAACCAATTAAATCAGAGTTTCTGGGGTAGGCCTCGGGATTTAAAAGCTTTCCACGTGATTTCTGTGTGTAGCCAAAGCCTAAGAACCCCTATCATACTTAATACCACCCAAGTACTAAAGAAAGTTATCTGGAACAGATAATATTGCTAGTCAGGGTTAAATTCAGGGTATGCTCCAGGGTCTTGAGTCCCTACAGGATATAAAGTTCTAAGCTAATCTCAGAACTTGTCTATAAAAAAGCCTTCCATGGCAAATAGAAAATTATATGGTAATATTCATGGAACACTTTCAATGAGCTAATGCTGCAGTAAGTCATGGTGGAGCATATGAAAGAAAATGTAATCTGGCCTCAAAGAGTTTTCCATTTGATTAGGGGAATACATGAACTAATTAAATAAAATCACAAGGCCACATTTTATTAAATGCCAAAGTGAGTAGTAAAAATACTTCATTTATTGTAATTGTATAGCAGTCAGTTTTCTTTAGACTAGTGCACTGTACAACAGAACTTTCTGCAATGATGGAAATGTTCTATACCTGTGCACATCAAAAGAGTAACTGCTAACTACATGTGGCCATTGAGCATTCAAAACATGCCTATTTTGACTGAGCTGAATTTTTTATTTAATTTTACTAAGTTTAAATTTTTAATGTGTCTAGTGGTTATTGGACAGTTTTTTTTTTAAGATTTACTTATTTGAGAGAGAGAGAGAGAGTGTGTGCACAGAGGAGAGGAGGAGGGGAAGATGGAAGAGAATCTCAAGCAGACTCCCTCCTGAGCAGGGAGCCCCATGCAGGGCTTGATCCTAGGACCCTGCTATCATTACCTGAGCCGAAATCAAGAGTCAGATGTCTAACAGAATGAGCCACCTGGGTGTCCCTTCCATATTGGACAGTTTAGCTCTAGCCTGTGAGCTCCTTTAAGACAAGGACCAGCCAGATCTTAAGTCATTTTACCCTGGCATAGCACGTAAGTACACAGAAGCTGCTTAAGTAAATGTAGAAAGCAAGCAGTGAGAAATCATAGTGACTTTCATGAAGGATGTGGGACATAAATGGAACCCTAAAAGATGTTTTAATGGCTATATTATAACAGGATTTAAAAACCTGAATAGAGTAATGCAGTGCTCATTCCAGATGGAAGCCTAGGAAGGATAGTAACCAAAACTGACAAACAGGTATAAACAGGCCGCAAATATCCTCCAAAGGGAAAACCCCTGTCAACCTTAGTGAAAAGTAAAAACTTCTGAAGTGAAATCATCAAATTTAAAGTTTCAAACTTAAGGGGCACATGGCATGGCTCAGTTAAGCGTCCGACTCTTGGTTTTGGCTCAGGTCATAATCTCAGGGTTGTGAGACCGAGACTTGAATCAGGCTCTACACTCAGCGCAGAGTTTGAGATTCTTTCCCCCTCCCTCTCCCTCTCCCTCTCCCTTCCCCTCTGCTCCCTCCCCCCTTAAATAAAGAAAATCTTAAAAAGAAGAAAGTTTCAAATAAGAAATATGGGACTGGTTGAAATGTCATGACACTATGATCCTGAATCAGTGTTAAGGGGCATGTTAAAATTCCTCCTACTTTATTTTTTTTTTTATTTTAAAGATTTTGTTTATTCATTTGAAAGAGAGAGAGAGAGCACGAGTGGGGTGAGGGACAGAGGGAGAAGCAGACTCCCTGCTGAGCAGGGAGCCCAATGCAGGGCTTGATCCCAGGACCCCACGATCATGACCTGAGCCAAAGGTAGACGCTTAACTGACTGAGCCACCCAGGTGCCCTAAAATTCCTCCTGCTTTAAACAAACTCCAGCTATTACCCCATTTGTCTGCTTCTCTTTACAGCAAAGTTTCCCAAAGGAGTTGCCTATAACTTACTGCATCCAATTCCCTTTCCATTCATTATTGAATCCACACCAATTAGATTTTTACCTCAGTTGCTCCAATGAAACTGCCCTGGCCAAAAATCCGTAATGACCTCCACTGTACTAAATCCAAAGGTTATTTCTTTTTTGTTTTACATATTTTTTTAATTATGTTATGTTAATCACCATACATTTTACATCATTAGTTTTTGATGTAGTGTTCCATAATTCATTGTTTGCGAATAACACCTAGTGCTCCATTCAGTAGGTGCCCTCTTTAATACCCATCACCAGGTTACCCCATCCCCCCACCCCCCTCCCCTCTAGAACCCTCAGTTTGTTTCTCAGAGTCCATAGTCTCTCATGGTTCATCTCCCCCTCCAATTTCCCCCCCTTCATTTTTCCCTTCCTGCTCAAAGGTTATTTCTTATTGCCTTATTTGATTTCTCAACAGCATCTGAAACAGCACATCACTCCCATCTCCTTGAAACACTTCCTTAACTTCCGTAACACCATACTCTTCTGGTTTCTTCCCACCTCAATAGTTAATCCTTCTCAGACAGCTTTCCTGGTTCCTTCTCATGTCCCCTACCTCTATGCATTGTAATATCCCAAGGCTCAGTACTTAGTCATCTAATATACTCACACCTTTGGTGAGCTCTTCCAGTGACATGACTAATTCTCATCTCTATGCCAAAGACTCAAATTACTGTCTCCAGCCTGGACCTCTCTCCCCTAAACTCCAGACTCATTCAAATGCATATGTAATAAGCATCTATTTTTTTTTTAAGATTTTATTCATTTATTTGACAGAGAGAGACAGAGAGGGAACACAAGAAGGGGGAGTGGGAGAGGGAGAAGCAGGCTTCCCACTGAGCAGGGAGCCCGATGTGGGGCTCAATCCCAGAACCCTGGGATCATGACCTGAGCTGAAGGCATACGCTTAATGACTGAGCCACCCAGGCGCCCTCTAAAACTACAAGTACAAGCTATCCTTAATAAGATTAACAGCTGACTTCTCATCAGAAAACACTGAGGCCACAAGGCAGTGGGATGGATGACATTCAAACTGCTGAAAGAAGAAAAAGACAAGAATTCCTTTTCTAGCAAAAATACCCTTCAGGGTGGCTCAGTTGGCTTGCGACTGTCTTTGACTCAGGTCATGATCCTGGAGTCCTGGGACTGAGTCCCACAATAGGCTCCCTGCTCAGCGGGGAGTCTGCCTCTCCCTCTGACCACCCCCCCCCCCGCTTATGCACTCTCTCTCTCAAATAAATAAAAACTTAAAAAAAAAAATACCCTTCAAAATGAAGGAAGAATTAACAAAAACAAAGTCAATACATTGGAAAACACTGAAATAATACAAAGTGTGTTTTCTAAACACATTGGAATTAAATGAAAATACAAAAACAAAGAAATTTGGGAAATCCCCAAATAGATGAAGATTTATTTACTTGAGAGAGAGAGCACTTGTGCAGGGTGGGGAGGGGGGTTGGGAACAGAGGGAGGAGAGAGAGAATCTCAAGCAGATTCCTGGCTGAGCAAGGAGCCCCACATAGGGCTCTACCTCATGATCCATGAGATCATGACTTTAACCAAAATCATGAGTCGGACATTTAACCAACTTAGCCACCCAGGCACCCCTGGGAAATCCCCAAATATTTGGAAACTGAGCAAGTTTCTAAGTAATTCATGAACCAAAGAAGAAATCACAATGGAAATGGCCTTTATTTTTAACTCAATTAAAAAATGTCAAAATTTGGGGCACCTGGGTGGCTTAGTCGTTAAGTGTCTGCCTTCGGCTCAGGTCATGATCCCAGCGCCCTGGGATCGAGCCCCGCATTGGGCTCCCTGCTCCATGGGAAGCCTGCTTCTCCCTCTCCCACTCCCCCTGCTTGTGTTCCCTCTCTCGCTGTGTCTCTGTCAAATAAATAAAATCTTTAAAAAAAAAAAAAGTGAAGGAAATATACATAATAGAAATATTTCCAAGTCATGTATCTAGTAAGGGACCTGTATCAAGAATGTATAAAGAACTCTTACAACTCAAAAATAAAAAGACAACCCAATTAAAACTGGGCAAAGGATATGAATAGGCATTTCTCCAAAGGAAAAAATACAAATGGTTAAAGAGCACATAAAAAGATGCCCTACATCACTGGTAACTAGGAAAATACAAATCAAAACTTCAATGAGATACCATTTCACTCCGACTAGGATGGCTATCATAAAAAAAAGACAATAACGAGTGCTGTCAAGGGGCACCTGGGTGGCTCAGCAGGTTGGGCGTCTGCCTTTGGCTCGGGTCAAGATCCCAGGGTCCGGGGATTGAGCCCTGCATTGGGCTTCCTGCTTAGTGGGGAGTCTGCCTCTCCCTCTGTCTCTCCCCCAACTTGTGCTCTTGCTCTGTCTCTCAAATAAATAAATAAAAATCTTCAAAAAAAAAAGTGCTGTCAAAAATGTAGAGAAATTCGGGGCGCCTGGGTGGCTCAGTTGTTGGGCGTCTGCCTTTGGCTCAGGTTATGATCCCAGGGTCCTGGGATCGAGCCCCACATCGGGCTCCCTGCTCTGTGGGAAGCCTGCTCCTCCCTCTCCCACTCCCCCCTGCTTGTGTTCCCTCTCTTCCTGTGTCTCTCTCAAATAAATAAATAAAATCTTTAAAAAAAAAAATGTAGAGAAATAGGAACCCTCATATATTGCTGGTAGGAATGTAGAATCATGTAGCACTTTGGCAAACAGTTGCACGGTTTCTCAAAATGTTAAACACAGTATAACCACTCCTAAGGATACATTCAAGGGAAATAAAAACAATGTGCTGATAAATTACAAACAAATCTTCACAGCAGCATTATTCACAACAGCCAAAAAATGGGACCAACCTAATGCCCATTAACTGATGAACAGATAGGGGCGCCTGGGTGGCTCAGTCGTTAAGCATCTGCCTTCGGCTCAGGTCATGATCCCAGGGTCCTGGGATCGAGCCCCACCTCGGCCTCCCTGCTCCACAGGAAGCCTGCTTCTCCCTCTCCCACTCCCCCTGCTTGTGTTCCCTCTCTCGCTGTCTCTCTGTCAAATAAACAAAATCTTAAAAAAAACAAAACAAAACTGATGAACAGATAAAATGTCCATTAAAATGGAATATAGTATGGCAATAAAAAAGAATGAAGTATTGATGCATGCTACAACACAGATGAACCTCAAAAACATTATGCTGAGTGAAAGTAGCCAGTTACAAAAGACTACATTTTTTTTTTAAAGTAGGCTCCACGTCCAGCATGGAGCCCAACACGGGGATCAAACCCACAACCCTGAGATCAAGACCTGAGCTGAGATCAAGAGTCAGATGCTCCACTAAGCCACCCAGGCACCCTGACTACATTTTCTATGATTCCATGTTATGGTCTGAATTATGTCCCCACACAATTCATATGTTGTCGTCCCAACCCCCAACGTGAATGCATTTGGAGACAGAAACTTTAGGAAGGTTAAATTGAGGTAGTAAGGGAGGGGCCCTAATTTGATAGGATTAGTGTTGTTATAAGAAGAGGAAGAGCCACCACAGAACTCCCTACACACCCACACAAAGAAGAGACCATATGAGGCCACAGCAAGGTTGCCTATAACCCAGAAAGAAAGGCCTCACCAGAAACCTTGATGAGGCACCTTGATTTTAGACTTCAAGCCTCCAGAACTCTAAGAAAATACATTTCTGTTACTTAAGCCACCCAGTCTGTGGTATTTTGTTATGGCAAAGCAAACTAATACATTCCATTTTTTGGAATGTCCAGATTGGTAAATATGTAGGAACAGAAAGTATATTACTGGCTGTCCAAGGCTGGAGTTTAGGGTGGAATGGGATATGGCTGCTAATGGAAAGAGGGTTCCTTTTTGGGGTGATGGAAATAATCTAAAATTAGATTGTGGTCATGGTTATACAACTCTATGTACATACTTAAAACCACCAAATTGCACACTTTAAATGGGTGGATTTTGTGGGTGAATTTATGTGAATTATATCTCAAAAAAGCTATAAGAGAAAAAGATATTACTTTTTTTTTTTTTTTTTTAACAGTGGCATGCTAAGTCCCATCCCTTAAAAACTAAACAACTCGGGGCGCCTGGGTGGCTCAGTCGTTAAGCGTCTGCCTTCGGCTCAGGTCGTGATCCCAGGGTCCTGGGATCGAGCCCCACATCAGGCTCCCTGCTCGGCGGGAAGCCTGCTTCTCCCTCTCTCACTCCCCCTGCTTGTGTTCCCTCTCTTGCTGTGTCTCTCTCTGTCAAATAAATAAATAAAACTTTTAAAAAAACAAAACAAAACTGAATAACTTATGGCACAGTTGGTTAAGTGTCCAACTCTTGATTTCAGCTCAGGTCATGATCTCAGCCCCGTTGGACTCCTCACTGGGCATAGAGCCTCCTTAAGATTCTCTCTCTCTCCCTCTCTCTCCGCCCCTCCCCTCACAGCACTATTAAAAAAAAAAACAAAAAACTGAACAACTTACCAGATATTTTATAATTCTGGGAAAAAATGTAAAACATGGAAGATATTTCCTAACAGAAATGGAAAAGGACTTCAATTGCAGTTCTTCTTCAGAAGTCTTTTCAAATATTGAAAAAGAAATTGCACAAGCTATAAAAAATGCCATTGTTGTCACAACTGAGGGCATTAGGAGTTCATCCTTCAGTAGAAGAGGTAGCATACTGTAAGAGAAAACAGGAAAAACATTAAAAGAGAATTGCTAATTCAAAACATAACCACTTTGTAAAAAATTTTTAAATGAGTTTATGAGAACTATACTGAAAACATATAAATATTGGTTTGACTCACCTAAATGTTGACACAAGTAAAAACCAAGTAGACATAAAAGGAATTTCACTTAAAACTAAGCAGACTGGTCTAAAATGATAAAGAAAAAATATTTTAATCTTAGGAAACAGAATTTCAATTCTTGTGAAAAATATAAACACATTTTGTCTGTCTGATCTTCAGGGTAGCTAAACAAACAAAAAACAGCCAGTAAGGTCTCCATATGGATCACTGGTTCATTTTTTTTATATCAATCCAAACTAAGTAAGTCTAAACATAAAACAAGGTATCAACTCCTCCTAATAAATGAAAAACTGCTTCTTCCAATATTCCATTAATGGAACCTTTTTTTTCTTGTCATACAAACAGCAGCTTACACAAAGGCTCAGATAAATTCAAACATTCAGAGAAAGAGAGCTTTTTCATGTTTCATCCTACCTGGGAAATAAATTAATTCCCAGTATAGTGGTTTCAAACTTCTTTTTTTATTGTCTTCCATGTTACATATTACTAATCTAAGTTAAAAACTAAAGTTATGACAGACAGGATCGTCCTCTGCCATGGATGCGAGAACAACAGAGACAATTATAAGAGGAAACAAGTTGATAATGGCAGAAGAAAAGAAAAGCGGAAAAAACAAGTAGAAAGCAGCCAAATGAAAAGAGCAATAGTATAGGAAGAGGAAACATAATGCCAATAAATGGAACTACTGGCTTTATGACAGAGTTTAGGGTCGCAGGTCCCAATTCTGGGACCTTCCTAGCACCGCTGGTCTCATTACCTTCTGGATTCTACTGTGGCAATGCTCAAGAAGAAGGGGACCTGAGTCCTAGTCCCAGCTCTGCCACTTACTGTATGACCTTGAACAAATGATTAATTTAACCATCTTTCTTAGCTGTAAATGGAAATAGTAGTAATACCTTGTATTGTTACAGAACTGAAAGAACTCTTTTACAAGTATCTAATTTTTTAATAAAGTAACTTTTTACTAATGATGGCAGTTGTTGAATACTTGTTACTATTATTATTATTATTTTGGGTCTCCTTATTTTAAAAGGTTTGAGCATTCTCCTCCTTTCTTAGAAGGATGACTTTTCCCCATATCAACCAACATATGCAGTGTAAGGCCTGGGATTACAAACTGATTGAAAACTACCACACTAAAAGAAAGTACTAGAGGACTTTCAATTTCACTACTTGGTGCTTTTTAAATCAGAATGTATTTATGTTAAAAACATGCACATAGTAGGTGCTCAGTAAACATTATTTTCTCTTTCTGGGTCTTAACTCTTTCCCATTTATTCATTCAATATTCATTTACTAAATACAAGTATTTATTGAGAACTTATGTACAACCACTGCCCTGAAAGGAATACAAAGAGGAAAATAACTCTGCCCTTGACCTCAAGGTACTTCGTATTTATATTTAAGCAGCAAAATCCCCTGCCTCCTCAACCTCTTCTCTGAATCTTTTCCTTCACCACCTTAGTGAAAACAAATCCTGGGAGGAAAACTGCTGCCCCTCGGCCCTCTCAACCTCACCTGTTTTGTCACTCTTTCCATAGTCCTGAAACGACCCAGAGGGAGATAACCCCTTTGCTCTTTATCACTTCTTCCACATCAGTTCTCCGCCTCTCCACCCTAATAATCTCCATATCCTCAGGCTTTATCCCTATTAGTCCTCATCCACCAACAAAAGAGTCACTTCCCTCATTACTCAGTCATTTCAACTCCTTACTCAGGCACTCTATACAACCCTACTCATCTTCATTCCTGGCAATTTTTACATAGATGATCTTCCAACATCCTGACTTCTCGTTTGCTGGAACTCCTTTCTTCTAGTGACCCATTTTCATTCCTACACCCTTCGGTTATACTCAGGACTGTAACCCTTCCATAATCGCAACACAGCAACTGCATCCTGACCACTATCTCCTACCTTTGCAGCACTCTGGAACTTCAACAATCTTTTGATCCCATCTTCAATCCATTATTCCTACCACCTCTTTCACTTTGCCTCACTCCTTTGGTTGTCTTTTCTTTTCCCTTCTTAACCAGCTTAAATTCTAAGGTCAACCATTAAAATCACTCCCATGCATTCACTCTCAAGCCCTGCGCAAGGCCATTATCCTCACTACACAAAACCACAAACCTGGAAAGACCCAACTCTCCACCTGTACTTATTCCAACCATACTGAGCTCTTGAGGGAAACACTTCCCCACACTGTTTTCACTTTAAGGAATTATTTATTTTGAGAGAGAGACAGCGGGGAGGATGGGCAGAGGGAGAGAGAAAATCTCAAGCAGATTCCCTGCTCAACGTGGAGGAGCCCAAGGCAGGGCTCATCTCACAACCCTGAGATCAAGACCTGAGCCAGAAGAGTCAGATGCTTAACCGACTGAGCCATCCAGGTGCCCCTGTGTTCACTTTAGATACATGATCTTGATATTCAAGTGTCTAACAACTACTATGTATTTCTCTAGTCTGTTCTGTGTCTCTTTAGAAAAATAATCCACACCTTCTCATAATCTCGTAATCCCAACAGCTCCAACCTGCTCTTGCCTAATGACCTTGCCTTCTACTTCATTAAGATGATGGACTCTGAAAAACAAACTGAGGGTTCTAGAGGGGAGGGGGGTGGGGGGATGGGTTAGCCTGGTGATGGGTATTAAAGAGGGCACGTTCTGCGTGGAGCACTGGGTGTTATGCACAAACAATGAATCATGGAACACTACATCAAAAACTAACGATGTAATGTATGGTGGTTAACATAACAATAAAAATTAAAAGAAAATTGAAGCAATTAAAAGAACTTTAACAGATGCCACCATCACATCTACTCTCTTCCCAGCATCCGTACCAATATACCCTGTTCCCTCTTTTTATTAAAGTGAACTACTCCTGCATCTGTCCAAAGCCAGTCCTTCCATTCACACTCTGGGTCTGATCCCATCTCCCTTTCCAAGGGGTATTGCACCAACAACTCTTACCTCCTGTATCATCAGTGTTCCCTCTCTACAGACCATTCCCACACCATTATTTCTCCTATCTTAAAACCTTAAACAACAAGCCTCACTTGACTCTACTTTCTCTACCAATTATTGTTTTTATTTTTTCTCCCCTTTTCAGAAAGCTCACCTAAAGAACCCCATATATAAAAATTAACTCAAAATGCATCAAAGACCTAAATATAAGAGCTAAGTCCATAAACTTCTTAGAAATAACATGAGAGTAAGTCTTTATTACCTTGGATTTGGCAATGATTTGTTAGACATGACACCAAAAGCCCAAGCAACAAAAAGAAATAATAAATTGAACTTCATCAAAATTAAAAACTTGAAAGTTTTTAAAACCTTAAAAAATGCTCAACATCACTAGCTATTAGGGAAGTGCAAATCAGAACCACAATGAAATACCACTTCATACCCTGTAGGATGGAGGGGGGCGCAGGGGGGAAGGGAAATAACAAGTGCTAGCAAGGATGTAGAAAAACTGGAAACATCATACATTACATTACTGGTGGGAAAGAAAAATGGTATAACTGCTGTGGAAAACAGTTTGATGGTTCCTCAGTCAGTTAAATACAGAATTACTGTATGACCCAGAAATCCCTCTCCTGGGTGTAGACTCAAGAGTAATGAAAACAGGGGCGCCTGGGTGGCTCAGTCAGTTGGGCGTCTGCCTTTGGCTCGGGTCATGATCCCGCTGTCCTGGGATCGAGCCCCACATTGGGCTCCCTGCTCAGCGAGGAGCCTGCTTCTCCCTCTGCCTCTGCTGCTGCTCTGCCTGCTTGTGCGCTCTCTCTCTCAAATAAATAAAATCTTTAAATTAAAAAAAAAATACTGAAAACAAATGTTCAAACAAAAACTTATGCAGGAATGTTCATACTGGCACTATTCACAATAACCAAAAGGTAGAAACCCAAATGTTCATCAAATGATGCAGGGATGAACAAAATGTAGTATATCCATACAATGCAATATTATTCAGGCATAAAAATGAAGTACTGATACATGCTACAACATGGATGAACTTTGAAAATATTATCTTACATGAAATAGATCAGACACAAAAAGCCAAATATTATATGATTCCAATTATATGAAGTATCCAAAATAGGGAAATTCATAGAGACAGAAAGTAATTTAGTGGTTACAAGAATTGAGGGATGGGAAGAGAATGGGGACTGACCCCTTAAAGGGTACAGGGTTTCTTTTTGGGATAATAAAAGTGTTCTGGAAGTAGACAGTGGTGACGGTTGCACAGCATTGCCACTACTGGTATATTTTGCCACAGTTAAATAAATTTTTAAAAAAAGAATTATCTATAGCTATCTTTAATTTCTCTCCTCTCATTATTTCTTAAACCCACCTTAATCAGGCTTTTCCCTGCATCACTCCATCAATATTAGCCTTGTCAAAGTCACCAATGACTTCCATTTTGCTAAGGCAAAAGTCTGTTCTCAGCCCCCATCTTGAGTGATCACCTCATGTTTTTTTTTCCCCTCAGCTTTATTGAGATATAATTGACATATAACATTGTGTAAGTTTAGGGTGTACACCACAATAATTTGATATAGGCGTACATTACAAAATGATTATTGCAATAGGTTAGTTAACACATCCATCAATTCAGTTACCTTTTGTGTGTGCAGTGAGAATTTTTAATTTGTATTCTCTTAGCAACTTTCAAGTATATAATACCTGTTAAATATTACTATGTATACCCACCATGCTGCACATTAGATCCCCAGAACTTATTCATCTTAAAACTGTTAGTCTGTATTCTTTGACCACCTTCGCCCATTTCCCTCCCTTCTCCCCTGCCCCAGCAACCACCATCTACTTTGTTTCTATGAATCAGTTTCAGAGTTTTGATGACTTAGATTCCTTATTTATGTGAGATCACACAGTATTTATCTTTCTCTGTCTGACTTATTTCACTTAGCATAATGCCCTCAAGGTTCATCTATGTTGTTGCAAATGGCAGGATTTCCTTCTTTTTTATGACTAAATAATATTCCAGAGTGTGTGCAGTGTAGTGTATATACAGTATACATTTTCTTTATCCATTCATCTGCTGATGGACATTTAGGTGGTTTCCATGTCTTGGCTACTGCAAATAATGCTACAGTGAACATGGGGATGCAGATACCTCTTCAGGATCATGATTTCATTTCCTTCAAATATACACCCACATGTGGGATGGCTGATCACATGGTAGTTCTATTTTAATTTTTTGAGGAACATCTATAGTGTTTTCCATAGTGGCTATACCAACTTACATTCCCAACAAGAGTGTACAAGGGTTCTCCATTCTCCACATCCTTACCAGTACTTGTTATCCCTTGTCTTTTTGATAAGAGCCATTTGATAAGAGCCATTCTGACTGGTATAAAGTGATATCTCATTGTGGTTTTGATTTGCATTTTCCTGATGATTAGTGATGCTGAGCACACCTTCATGTGCCGGTTGTATAGCTTCTTTGAGAAAATATCTATTTAAGGTCCTTTGCCCATTTTCAAATTGTTTTTTACTATTGAGTTGTATGAATTCCTTCCATATTTTGGAGATTAACTCCTTATCAGGTATATGATTTGCAAATATTTTCTCCCATCCCATAAGTTGCCTTTTCGTTTTGTTAATCATTTCTTTTGCTATACAGAAACTTTAGTTTGATGTCATCCCACTTATTTATTTTTCCTTTTCTTCCTTATGTTTTTGGTGTCATATCCAAAATATCACTGCTAAGACTAATGTAAAGGAGCTTTTTCCCTATGTTTTCTTCTAGGAGTTTTATGATTTCAGGTCTTACATTTACATCTTTAATCCATTTCAAGTTAATTTTTGTGAATGGGGTAAGATAGATGACTCATGTCCTTAAAATACCTTCTTCACTCAGGACACCAACTCTTGTGGTTTTTCATCCTAACTTATTAGCCATTCCTATTTGCCTCTTCTCCTAAGACATCTTAACACTGTGTGGCCCAGGACTCAATCTCTGGTACTCTTCTCTGTATATACTCCCTCCCTTGGTGATCTCACCCAGTCTCATGACTTTGTCCTCTCTACTGACAAACTACTAAATTTGTATCTCCAGCTCAACCTCCCCCTCCCAGAACTCCACTCATATGTCCAACCCAGACTTATATCTAAATGCTGACTCGACATCTCTGCTTGGATGTCCAAAGACCTGTCCAACACTGAACTTGCAACCCTCTCACCAGGTCCACATCTAGCCTAATCCTGGTCCACTGGCAATCTTCCCCATTTCAGTCAATCACTATTCTATCCTTCCAGTTACAAGCCAAAAACCATGGACACACGTTTGGTTTTTCCTTTTCTATAACATGCTACATACAAATTATTAGGAAGCCTTCTGGTTCTTTTTATACATCCACAATGACCACCTCTTGCTTCTTCTACTATTATTGTCTTGGTCCCAGTCACCACCATCTCTCAGCTGAATTATGGTAACAGCCTTCTAAATGGTCTCCATGTTTTCTTGCTCCATACAATCTATTCTCAACGTGCAGCCAGGATGATCCTTTGATTTTTTTTAACAGTTTTATTGAAGTATAATTAATATACAAAGAATTGTACATATTTAATGTATATAATTTGATAAGCACAGTGATCTTTTTAAAACACCAAGGGGCGCCTGGGTCAGTCGGTTAGGCGTCTGCCTTCAGGTCGGGTCATGAACCCAGGGTCCTGGGATCAAGCCATACATCAGGCTCCCTGCTCGGTGAGGAGCCTGCTTCTCCCTCTCCCTCTGCCTGCTGCTCCCCCTGCTTGTGTGCTCTCTCGCGCATGTGCACTCTCTAATAAATTTTTTAAATCTTAAAAAAAATAAAACATCAAGTCAGATCATGCTTATTCCCCAACACCCCTCCATGGCTCCCAATTTCCTTTGGAATAAAAGCCAAATTTCCTAATGTGGCCTACAAGGTCCTATATAACTTACACCTCTGTTACCTCTTTAACTTCACGTTCTACTAACCCCCACTTTGACCACTCCACTCTGGCCACACTGGCCTTTCTGTTGTTCACTAAACATCCAGGCTTACTCCCATCTTAGGGCTTCCACACAGGCTGTTCCATCTAGAATGTTATTATCCAAAATATCCACACAATTAATTTTCTCAGCATCTCCAGTCCACTCAAATATCTCCCCAGTGAGGCCTAACTTGACATCTGTATTAAAATTACAACTTGTAGGGCGCCTGGGTGGCTCAGTTGGTTGGGCGACTGCCTTCGGCTCAGGCCATGATCCCGGAGTCCCGGGATCGAGTCCCACATCGGGCTCCCTGCTCGGCGGGGAGTCTGCTTCTCCCTCTGACCCTCTTCCCTCTCGTGCTCTCTATCTCTCATTCTCTCTCTCTCAAATAAATAAAATCTTTAAAAAAAATAAAATAAAATAAAATAAAATAAAATTACAACTTGTAACTTGCTCCTGTACCCTCACCTCCAATACTCCCAACTTCCCTTACCCTGTTTTATTTCTTCCTCATGGCCTTTATTACCTTCTAAAACACTATTTAATTTCTTATTTTTATTTAATTATTAGTGTCTATCCTTAAGAATGAAAGCTAAGAATGTAGGGATGTTTGTTTTGTTCACGGATATATACCCTGTGCTCTGGCAAACAGTAGGCTCAATGAATATTTATTGAATGAAGTATCTATTTAATGATAGATTAGCTAGGACCAGGTCAAGAAAAACTTTTAATGCTAACTTTAAAATATTTTATCAAAATATATATTAAAGCCATGCACTGTTAAAAATAATCTAAGTACATCTTAGAGTAGGAACTCCCAGAAATTCAGGGCCCAAGAGCTAATTTGAATGGTCAGATTACAGGTCACTGGATGGGCTGCCTTAGTATGGGGTAGAAAATCTGGGGAAAATATACATGTTTGAAAGCAAACCTTTCCATAGTTCCATCCCCTCGCACGAGGAATTTGTGGAGGGTCAGCCAAGCCTCACATAATAGTGGTAGAAACTAATTCAGGTTTAGAGTTTGGGGGATGAAACTAAGCTGTCCTGGTCTGCAGTGATGTGAGACTATTTAGTTCCAACCAAAGAAACCTTTCATATAAGGCAGCCCAGCTTACTGTAAAGCTCTGCATTGAGTTTTTAGTTCAAAGCTCCACCTAATAAAAGCAATTTATTGTAGAATAAATTTGTCATTGGTTATTCTGTACATGGATCCTCCATAGGAACCTAGCAAACACAGGATAAGATGTGGGACTGATCTAGGGCATGATTCAAGCATTCCAATGTGTTCTGGGCAAATATTATTTTAATATTGGGATAACATAACCCACTGTCACCCAATTTCTGTGATAACCAGGAAAAAATTTTAATGCTCTTAAAACAAAGTAGTCTGATTAGGGATTGCCAATAGGGTCTAAACAAAGGTTTTGACAAAAGAAATAGCAAGGAGTCAACATATGAAAGTTTGCTAAAGAGGTGAATGAAAAGAACAAAACTATTAAACAGCTGTGGAAATGAATGAAATGAAAACGGCAAAGATGACAAACAGGCTCCAATCTGAGGAAAATCTCTTTGGTTATTCAATTTTTTTATTAGCATATAAAAAATATATATGAAGAAACAGAAATAAGAATGTCAGTAATAATTCTATGAAACTTTTTCAGTTTAAAATATTATATTTATAATGAAGTAAAATTATAAGAAATCATTCTGGAAAAATATAATTTTATGAATAATCTTATGCAACTACATAATAACATTTGTGTGGTTTTGTTTTACACTTAGGTGATTATATGTAGGTAATAAATTTATGTATATATTATAAACACATAATAATAAATAAATAAAATACAACATTTTTACTTACAATGATACCAAGAGAATGGACTTTTCATGTACTTGGAAAGAAAATAAAAAGAATGACAGTGCACAGCTAACCTTTAAGGAAAAAGGAGGGAGAATGAGCTATAACAACTTATAAACTATAACAGTAGTTTAATTATGAATCTAAATAAAAATCATCTGAAGTAAAATTTTAAAGCTTAATGTAGTTTCTATCTAGAAGGAAAATATCTATACAATATTAATGCATAACATTTTATTCAAATTTAGTAAAACATTTCTTCAAAAAACAATGATTATAAAGCTATATTTAACCATCTAAAACAAGTTCATTCAGACTCAGTTATTAATAAACAAAACAAAGACACAACAATCAGACTTTCATCCCCCACTTGGAATCTCTGACAATTTAAATTAAAAAGCACTGAGGGCCAGAAGTTCAAAATCTAAAACTCGTAAAACAAATCTATTTTAGTGTTTTTAAAAGATACATTTCAATAAAATATAGTAAATGTTTGATAAAGTCTTCATTTACTATTTGGGGTTTAAAATTAAAATTACTTAGATCTATTTTCAGAAGTTTATGATCTGCATATTGGACATCCATCTACACACATCCAGTCCAGAGCAAATCCTATCTACACCACCTTCTAAATACAATATCCACCCACTTCTCTCCCTTCCCCTCTGCTGAGGGTGGCAGAGGAGTGGTCTAAGCCACACTCATCTTTCTCCTGGACTACCGCAATAACCTCCTAACTGGTAACAGTCCTGCTTCCTTACAGTCCATTATGTACTCAGCCACCATATCAGATCATGTAAATTTCCCTGTTTAAAATCCTCAAATAGCTTCCCATTAACCCTGAGAATAAAATCCAAACTCCTATCTGGGTCCTGCCTTCCTCTTCCAGTCTATTTCTTACTGTCTCCCTCACACACTTCATACCAGCCACTTCATACCGGTCCCTTTATGTGCTGAACATACCAAATGTGTTCCTGCTTTAAAGAAAAACTTCATTTTATCAAGTCAGAGCACAGATCTTCTTATGAATGGTTCCTTCTGGCCAGTCATTCAGCTCAAGGCTCAAATGTCACTTCCATAGAAAGGCCTTCCCTTTCAAGCTAAAGTAGTGCACCCTAACCAAAACCCACCAGCACTCCTTTCATATAACACTATTGTCCTCAAAACCCCCATTACTTCCAGATATTTTCTCATTAACAAATCTATTTTGTTTATTGTCCTTCTCCTATCACTAGCATGAAAGGCCCCAATTAAGAGAGCAGGGATATGAGCTTACACACCAGTACTTAGAAAAGGACCTGGCATGGGCACCTGGATGGCTCAGTTCGTTAAGCGACGGCCTTCGGCTCAGGTCATGATCCTGGAGTCCCGGCATTGAGTCCCACATCGGGTTCCCTGCTCGATGGGGAGTCTGCTTCTCCCTCTGACCCTCCCCCCTCGTGTTCTCTCTCTCTCTCTCAAATAAATAAATAAAATCTTTAACAACAACAACAAAAAAGGACCTGGCACATTAGAAGGCACTCAAAAAATACTACTTGAATAAATATGATCATTTTGCTGCTATACATATGTTAGTGTTCATACTATCAATTACCTCATATAGACTTATACTGAGAAATAATTCAATCTTTATTGAAAGGAAAACACTTTAAAATAATTATAATGGGAAATATTTTCAAAGTTCTCAGAAATATTCAGTAAGAATTCAAAACATCAACACTAATAAGAAAAGTCATTAATTAAATCATTTTTAGTTTTTTAAATATAATGGCTTATATTAAAACATAGCAAACAGAATAAAATTAGGAAATTAAGAGAAAAAATTTTTTTCTGGCTTATAATCCTAAAATTACCTCTAACACTGCTACAGTTACTCAAACTCTGAAATTCCATTCGATTATCTTTGAAATATACCTTTATTTAGCATGTTATTTCCTAGAAAAATAACATAATCTTACACAAGCTTGCAAATGTTTCAAGTTAGGCCTATTAACGACATCAGAGCATTATTATTATTCCTTCTATTCTAAAAGTCCTATAGAATATTAACAGAGGATGTAGAATGCTCAGAGTTTATTCTCAAAATGAAATGAGAAATTGTCAATAAAAAGGTAATAACAAAGGAAAGAGAACATGAAACTATCGTTTTTATACTGAGTGAGTATAAAAACTGTGAGTATATACTGTGGTACCCATATGCACTTTTTTTTTTTTTAAAGATTTTATTTATTTGACACAGAGAGACATAGCGAGAGAGGGAACATAAGCAGGGAGAGCAGGAGAGGGAGAAGCAGGCCTCCCGCGGAGTAGGGAGCCCGATGCGGGGCTCGATCCCAGAACCCTGGGGTCATGACCTGAGCCGAAGGCAGACGCCCAACAACTGAGCCACCCAGGCACCCCCTCATATGCACTTTTGAAGTATTTTACTGTTATGCTCTGTTCTGGTTTGTTTTTGAAATGCAATGTAAATAAGTGGCCGTCCCAAAATTAAAACCCTAATTTCTAAAATGTCTCCTTATAAGTCCACTAAGACTTTTCATAAACTAAACTTTCTTGATATTTTCAAAGATATTTTTATTTATTATTATTTTTTAATATTTTATTTATTTGACAGAGACAGACACAGCGAGAGAGGGAACACAAGCAGGGGGAGTGGGAGAGGGAGAAGCAGGCTCCTCACTGAGCAGGGAGCCCGATGCGGGGCTCGACCTCAGGACCCCGGGATCATGACCTGAGCCGAAGGCAGACGCTTAACGACTGAGCCACCCAGGCGCCCCTTAAAAGATACTTTTAAAATACCATCTTAGGGGCGCCTGGGTGGCTCAGTTGGTTAAGCGGCTGCCTTCAGCTCAGGTCATGATCCCAGGGTCCTGGGATCAAGCCCCAGTGCAGCTCCCTGCTCAGCAGAGAGCCTGCTTCTCCTTCTCCCTCTGCCTGCCACTCTGCCTACTTGTGCTCTCTCTCTCTCTGTCAAATAAATCTTTAAAAAAATAAAATAAAATATCATCTTAGAGACCAAGGCACAAAGGAACCAAATTTTAAATACCACAGAAATACAACCAGGGAGGAATTTGTGAACTCACTCAGAGAAACCCAAAGTTGTAGGAAATATAACCAATTCATCTTCAAACTGATACAAGTCATCTTCCTAAAACAGAGATCTGTCCCCTCTCCTTAAAACTCTTTTTTGGTTCCTCTGGCACACAAATCAAACTTCAACTTTTTCAACCCAACATTCAAGGTCTTACCCAATTTGATCCTTTTCAACTCTTATCTCCCACTATATCCTTTCCTAACCTACACACACACACACACACACACACACACACACACAAGTCACACAAATTTCATTGTTTAATAGCTATTCCCAGCATTCCCTGTCCTTGCCCACCACAGTATCCTCAAGCTCTTCCTCCTGACTTGAATTCTCTTCTGCTATATAACCTATTCCAAATCTTGCCCAGCTTTCAAAATTTGGCTCCAATCCCACTTACTCTAAGAAGCTGTCTAAAATCTGCCCCAGGGGCGCCTGGGTGGCTCAGTCATTAAGCGTCTACCTTCAACTCAGGTCATGATCCCAGGTTCCTGGAATCGAGCCCCTCATTGGGCTCCCTGCTCGGCGGGAAGCCTGCTTCTTCCTCACCCACTCCCCCTGCTTGTGTTCCCTTTCTCACTGTGTCTCTCTCTGTCAAATAAATAAAGTCTTAAATAAATAAATATATATGTATGATAAAATCTGCCCCAAAGTAATATCTCCCTTTCCCACACTATCCCAGCACTTAATGTGTAACTAAAAGAACTTACTACCTTCTGCTTAATAGCATAATTATTTAAACATATGTCTATCCCCACTCTTTTCTTCTCTGTATTCCCTCACTGACTAATACAAAGCAGAAATTAAATAGTTGTTGAATTAAACTGAAAGATTCTGATTATTCAGCCTAGTATACAACACAGCACCGAAGTATGTCAGACACTCAATATATGTTCACCAAATATATGAATACCTTATTTCCCAATCCAGTAAATCCCATACAGAGTAAGAAAATAATTATCTGTATTTTTAAAAGATCAGTTGCAGCAAGAATTAAGTATTTAAAGTAATGAAAAACTTACCAGAGTAAATCTGAATCCTTTGGGAGAGGGCTGAAGTATTAATTTTATACATGCAGGAAGCAGGCTCAAAAATGTAAAACAAAAGCTAAAAAAATGAATAAAAATAAAACATTTGTTTTCTTTATAGAAGTATGTAATTAAAACAAGGAAATATTTTTTAATATAAGGATCACATTACTTACCAACTTGTTTATTTCAAATTAAAGGTTTTTTATTTATTAAATGTAAATTTAATACCAAATAACATTTAAATAAAATCCATGCATTGAAATATTTACAAACTTTTATACGTGATTATATAATACAGAAAAAAATACCACAGTGCTTATGTTATTTATAGAAAAGATACACAAAGATAGATAGCTAAAGTCAATTCTCAAATACTCAAAATAAGAAAACACTACCAGGCATAAAGAGACACTATATATTTGTAACACAAATATTCATAAAATTTACTCACAAGAGAACCTCTCACAAAAGTTGACTGATTTTCAGCCCATGGTAAATCAGAAAGAACAAGTTAGAAAGGGAGTGGGCAGCTGCTAGAGCTTCTCCTAGTGATGGCTGATGGGCAGAGAGGAAAAGGAACTCAAGAGCAGAGCCATGTGGAGCCAGTTAGTACCATGGCAAACAGCTTTTGCAAGCCCTAAGGACAAGTATTATAACACAACACAATAACTGATTTTCTCACTGTTGGTAGCTTTGTGGTGTGTCAACGTGGCTTGGCTGAACTACAGTTCCCTGATTTCGCTCTCTAGTATGCTGCTAGCTACAGTGGGCTACAAGGGATATTCTCAAAAGAACTGGAGGGCAGAGGGAGGCAGCACCATTGTGTAGTGTGCATGCATACACACACACACACACACACACACACACACACACACACACACACACACACCTTCTCCCAGTTATTCAAACACGAATCTTGGTGCTGCGGGGATGAGATTGTGCAGATGTAATGAAAGTCCCTCTTCAGTTGATTTTAACTTAATCAAAAGGGAGATTCTTGGATGGCCTGACTTAATCATTTTGAAGACTTTTAAAAGAGAACTTAGGTCTTCCCTAAATTGAGATTCCAAACAGAAACTAGGTTTGAATTGCTCTTCCTTCCTCTGAGATATTCCTTCCTGAATGCCTGCCTTGTGGACTTCCAGTTTGTTCAATCAGACCCCATGACAGTATAAGCCAATTTCTTGTAATAAATTCACACACGCACACACACACACACACACAAACCCCTCCCACTCATTCTTCTTCTCAACCAGGTTGAGCCCTGATTGATACACCACTGAAAATCATGACTCTTCAAGATAATATTTAATCATGTTTAGTAGACTTTGTTTAAGGGGGAGGGAAATAGGTAACAATCAAGAAAGATGATCACTTAACATATTTCAAATAAAAGTACTGGTATATAGAGGGATAGGTCTGTGTTATGTGGAAAAATGCACTAATGAAGAACACCTCATTCCCTAATGACACCATATAAATGAGACATTACCATAACACTTTTAGAGAACAGCTTATACAACACTATATACAAACTTTGTATCTCTTACCTGATTATTATCTGGATGTGATGTGGCAAAATATCCTTGATCTTCAGAAAGATACTGAAGCTGCACCAAATATTGGCTACTTTATCCTTAAAAGAGATTTGTTAGTTTTTCATTCTGATATAATAGAAATATTAAACTCTATCAAAGTACAGCCCATAATCTCTAAATAAACTTTTGAGACATAAAGCTTTTGTTCATAATTTTATAACTAACTTGCTTAAACTCTCCAAGGAATACACACACACACACGCATTTTTCGGTTTTTGCAATGGGAGTTGACCTACATCACTAGCCAACCATAACCTAGATATTCCCAAGAAATGTTTATTTTTTTCAAAGAGCAGCACACTATCCCTAAATACTTAAGTTATTCATCTCTGAAAATTTTTCTAGGGAATCTTTTCTCCTAATTTGTAGAACACACATTTTTTGACCCATTTTATCACAAGTGGAAATTATCTCAAGTATAGCCTACTAGCAACTTACAATGAAAAGAGTTAATTGCTAATAAATCAAGGTATTTAAAGACATTAGCAGTTGTGGTAGGATCACTTTCAAAATTAAATTTGTAACGACAGCTCTCAGCTTGTAAAACCTACCCTCTACACAGCCGCTTAACTCATAGCTGTGTAAGCATAACATCAAGAAAGTAACTATCAGGGAAGAGCAAGATGGCAGAGGAAAAGGAGACCTAAATTTTGTCTGGTCTCAGGAATTCAGCTAGATAGGGATCAAACCATTCTGAACACCTACTAAGTTAACAGGAAATCAAAGAAAAGAATAGCAGCAACACTCTGAACAGAAAAGCAACCACTTTCAGGAAGGTAGGACGTGCAGAGAAGTGAATCAGAGGCAATATTCAGGAAGACAGACCACGGGGGTAAGGACCCTCCATCAGCAGCTACTGGGAAGTGATAGAGCAGTGGGGCACAAAATCGGAACTTTTAGAAGTCGGCTCCGCTGAGGGACGTCGCTCCAGTGGCTAAGCAGGGGGTGGAAACCTCGCAGGACAGTGTGGTCTCAGGACCCTCAGGGTCACAGAAAGACCGGTGGTGCCTGGGTGTAGCAGAGCTCCCAGGTATCAGAGCAGGGACGCCAGCTGCAAAGACGGGGCCGACGAGTGGGCTGTCAGCTCAGGGTTGCCATAAACTGTGATCCGCAGCACAGTCGGGCCACTGCTCCTCCAGCAGGGACCCAACAAGTGACAGATCCGGGGAGACTCCCCTTCCTCCCCCGGGAGGAGGGGCGCGGGAGGGCACCGCAGGGATCTGCTGGGTTTGGAGACTCCACACGGGGTCGGGTGCCAGAGACAGAAAGGCTCGGTCAGAGGCTGGGTGAGCACGGAGTGCAGCTGGAGACCGGGGAGAGGGGAGTGATTGACAGCTTTTCTCTGGGGGCTCACTGAGGAGTGGGGCCCTGAGTCCTCGGCTCCTCCAGGGCAGAGACTGGGAGGCCACCGTTTCCACTCTCATCCTCCAAAGCTGAACAGAAAGCTTGCAGGGAACAAAAGCTCCCCAGAGCAAACCCGAGCAGATTACTTAGCTGGAGGGCAAGGCGGGGCAATTCTGCTTCCGGCAAAGAAATCTGGGAACCACGACAACAGGCCCCTCCCCCCAGAAGATCAGGAAGAACAGCCAGCCAATACCAAGTTTACCGATCAATGAGAATGGCAGAACGCCAGCACCTGGGGAATACTGCACATAGAATTCATGGCTTTTTTCCCCCTGATCCTTTAGTCTTTCAAAGTTAATTTTTTTAATTTTCTTTTTTTTTCTTTTTCTATTTTTTTCTTGAAATTTTTTCCCTTTTTCAACCAACATCTTATCAATCCCTTTTTAAAATATCTTTTTTATTTTTCATTTTTAGAGTCATATTCTATCCCTTCATTGTAGTTAACCTTATTTTTGGTATATATATATAAGTTGTTCTCCCTTTTAAATTTTGGGATACAGTTTCTTCTAACAGACCAAAATATACCCTAAATCTCTAGTGTATGGCTTTGTTCTAGTCTCCTGCCTGATCACATTCTCTCCCTTTTTTTTT